CCTTCGAATCATGACTGCCATAAATGTCCATGACACATCAGTGTCCGACGCAGCATTAACCCTGTGGGCGGAAAACTCGGCTATCAGCCTGAAGCTATTCAGAGCATTGAATCAAGGACAGCCGAGCCTCCCACATGTCTCAAGACACAGCCGCTTCCCTCTCAGTCCCTGGTCGACAACCAGGGCTACTTCCAAGATCATCTGCGCTGTGGACATATGATGGAACAACAGACACCTGAGTCACTACTTCCTCGTCGTCCCCAACCTACCTCATGACATCTGCATTGGAGCAGACATCATGGTCCGGCTCAATGCCTGTATGGACATCGTGAACGACGTCATATGGGCTCCCCTGTCGCATCAACTAACCACTGCAGTCAACCTCAAGAACCTTCGATCTGGTCAAACAATGCCAGACGCATGTGCCATGATCAGTGAGCAAGAAGCTGCAATACCTGCCTACAGCAAGAGTGTCAGCGTCCGCCTCAACATGCGACCTGGCCACTCTCTCGACAGTAAGCTAGGCTTCTTCCAACCTTCCAGGATCTTCCTAAGACTAGGACTGACCTTGGAAGCCACACCTCTCATTGAAGTGACATCTCGTGCTGTGTACATACTGTTCAACAACTGTACGGCCAAAGACATCAACATTCCCAAAGCCAGTCACCTGGGATGGCTCATTAACCAGACGTTCCATGACTTTGAGCTAACGGTACCGGTCATAGGCCACATACCAGTCCAACTACTGTCAGATGAATGTGATGACACAGTAACGTTCACAAGACCCAATGGAACCATTGCCATCACTTCTATTCTGCCAGTGCCCAGAGAAAGCGTCTGCCGAACAGGAATCACAGACAACACTCACCTCGCCATCTATGCTGTCTCAACACAGCCCACGACAGAATCACCTGCACAGATGACCGTCAAGGCCCAGAGCCCCTTAAATGACTCAACCATGGAGGAACCCTACACCGGGTTCAGCGCACAAATCAAACAGATCCTGAGTGAGGTGGATGCCCTCCACAAGGAAGCATATCGCCAAGGACTCAAAGAGGTTCTGTACAAGTACAAGGACTCCTTCGCAAAGGACTCCCTGGACTGTGGACTGACCAACATCCACAGTGTGCGCATCCCGACAAGCCCAAATGCACCACCCACATTTGTGCGACAGTACAAGATTCCAATAGCGTCATATGAGCCAGTGCAAGAAATTGTTGACTCCATGCTGGAAAAGGGGGTCATCCGGCCCTGTAACAGCACATACTCTGCTCCGATATGGCCAGTCATGAAACCCAACGGCAAATGGTGGCCCACTATCGACTACCGCAAGTTGAACCAGCAAGAACCCTTGTCACGGTGGCCAATGACCCAGTTGGACCAAGAGATTCCCAAAATCAGAGGCTCAACGATCCTTTCCACAATGGACGTCGCCTCTGGATTTTGGACGATCCCTGTCCACCCTGATGACCAACACAAGTTGGCATTCACCTTTGCCAATCAACAATACACCTTCACACGGTGTCCCTTTGGCTATGCCAACTCACCAGCTGAATTCAACATCTTCCTGAACAAAGCATGCCCTGATGCCAAAACCAGAGGCAACCTCGTTTACGTGGATGATGTGCTTTTGAAAAGCTCAAATGTGGCAGACCACCTCAAAGAAATCGATCACGTCCTGTACCAGCTGACAACAGCAGGAGCAAAGATCGCCCTCCACAAAGAACAATGGTGCAAAACCAAAGTTAAATATGTCGGTCTGAAGCTACGAAGCTTTCTGGGAGTGTGCAATTACTCACAACAGTTCATTGAAAACTACGCTGACATCGCACGACCACTAACCTCCCTACTGAGAAAGGACGAACCCTTCGTCTAGTCGGAAGCCCAGGACACGGCTATGAGCGAGCTCAAACAACGCCTGGCCTACCCAGACCCAGGAAAAGAGTTCTATCTGGACGCTGGATTCTCCAATCACTGCCTCAGTGCAGGCCTGTACCAGCTCCATGACAAAGACAAGTGAGTGGTCGCTTATGCCAGCAAAACACTGCTTCCCCCAGAATGCAAATACTCAGACTGCGAAAAAGATTAGCTTTGCACTGTGTGGGCCATCCAGCGTTTCTCCAACTACATTGGAGCTCAGAAAGTTACCTGTCACCAGCCAGTAACCTTCCTCAACAGCCAACGAATCAGAGATGGCGTGGTAACCAACGCACGCATAGCTACTTGGCTAATGACGCTCCAAGGACGGGACGTCGAGGCAAGATATGCCCAAAACCACAGATCATATCAAGAAAACGGGCTAGCAGCCTGCCAGAACTGTTCAACGGACACGCTGCGCACAGCAGCAGAACCCAAAGAACCGTTACCGCCACAAATGACAAACCACAGGTACTTCGATAAGAATGTGTGCGAAGGGATGCCCACAGCATATGTCGATGGCTGCTCCAACAATCAACAGGGCAACTTGAAAGCGGGAGCGGGAGTGGTCTGGCTCAACAATAACCCTTGCCCGCCACAAAAATTCAAATTAGGCCCTCACTCATATTGCGATATGCCGAAATAGCGGCCATCCTCATTACCCTAAAATTTGCTGCATCCCACAACATCAAAGAACTCCTCATCTGTACCGACTCGAACTATGCCCGTCTAGATGAGAGTAGTACCTGTACGAAACTGTAATACCAAAGTATGGTACTACAGCTTCGCCCAACCAAGGCATAACGCTCCCCATCGCCTGTCAAAGAAATTCCTACCTCACTGGACAGGACCCCATGAGATTGGGCACCAGGGCTCCAACCGACAGGAAAAGGGGGAAGATCAAGCCAACTGACACAGACCGACAATCTCATACTCTACACTACACTGACATAACTTCTGTCATTCTAGGAAAACATATAGCCACCTTGCGTAGACACAACACTTACACATTCTCCTCCACCGCACTGCTAGGACCAACCTCTAGTAGAGAGAAGGTACTCCACACATGTGACACTCGTTTGCTGTCTCAACTCATTTGGTGTCCTTGTGTCTCTTTGTTGTTTTTCCTTTTTGTCTCTCTTTGTGTTTTTCGTTTCCCCCTCTCACTACAATTTCCTTTCCCCTCTAGTCCCCTCATCAGGGAACTCCCTTACCTCATCTTTAAATCCAGGTCCCGAAACTAGGATTGACTCCTTTCACCAAAAAAATGTTTTTTTGTTGTTGTCGTAAATCGTTGAGAAAAGCCGTCGCCAACCAAATTGAGGCAACACAAGCCGAAATCGTCAGAAGCCCAGGGCTAGTTGACACACCAGCGCATACAGCTTCCCTCACCTACGATCGACACAACACTGCCACGCGCATTATCCTACCCAACCAAACTTTATGGATCAATGTCCCTAAGGGTTCGATCCTCCATATTGATGATTTAGCATTGTATCACCTTACCGACGACGAGTATCAGGCCGAACTCGAAATCTCACCCTTCTTCAAACAGCATTCCTTCGTCCTCGATCCAGAATTGAAAGAAAGGATCAGGGAGGAAGGAACGCAACTTATTGATTTGACTCCTGTTCATACAGCTCTAGAAGCTATTGCTCGCCTTCCACCCGCTGGCGCGCCAATCATTCGGTCTTGGTCTGCCGCTGACACAGCGCTTTGCGTTTCTACTATTGTAGGATATGTTTTGACTCTGACACTTGCCTTCCTCCTCCACAAGCGAGTGAATGCCATTCAAGAGTCTTTCAACAAGTGCATATTCTGCGTCCTGCGCATGTTCCGACGTGATAAAACTGACCAAGAACCTGAACCTGAACCTGAGAACTCAACCAACCTGATTGAGATTACGCCTATACCGCCTCGTCGAACCTCTGACAATTAGAGCAATCTAAATGACACAATAATGATACAAGTAATCCTAAATAATGCACCCCTATGTCTTCTCAAGTTTCTAACCTGATTATTCCCAAATTACCCATGTCCTGCACCCGGATTCAGTCAGTGATGGAGATGTTGTTTGTGTCTTGTTTGTGTCTTGTGTGTGTCTGTTCTCTCTTGCCTCTTGTTCCAGTGCCCGCTGACGTTCGCAATGGGAACCTCACCGAGCAAAAGGGGGATATATGTAGGGATTTCTATCATGAACGGACACTGATATGCCATAGAAACAGCTCATCGTGAGATGACGAACCAATCTAATCAAGAGATAACACAGAGATCTTTTGTATCAGGACTACAACTTATAGATACCTCGTGATGTCTTGTGACCGCCAATGAATGAACTACTACATCCAACAGGAAGATGATGAGCAATTTAATCAAACCCCTAGGCTTGCAAAACAACGGACCTAAAGAACAGTGATAATGTGATTAAATCAAACTCAGCAAACCACCGCGTGACGTGTATGGACCTCAGGAAATTCCCCCTCCCTTCCTTTCTCTATTAGCAGAGGAAATGCAGACATTGCATGGACCAAGTTTGAAAGACAATCATTTAAAATCATTTAAAGTATCGGAGCAATATACTCCCAAATAATATGCTTTCTGTTTGATGTGTTTATTGTAACCTATGAAGTTTAATCGATATTTTATAACCTTTTTTTTAATAGATAAAGTGATTAAAGGTACTCTGTGTATGCCAGATATGCAAAGTTTAGGCTTGTGGGAATGGTCATGATATTTAAATAACCTTGGTTTGAATGAAAATGTGGTATTTTGAACAGTGTGCTGTACGACACTTTATAAGAAGTTATTAAAACTTGCAGGAATACGCTTCACTGGAAGCATGTGATTCATGCATGATAAGGAGCAGTATGGGGCATGGCTAAGCCCCACAGCCACCATCTGATTGGAACAATGACCTGTGGGATGGACCAACATCGAGCCTACTTAAAAGGGACACAAAGCTCTCTCGCGCTCGCTCGCTCGCTCTCTCTCTCAAGACCTTTGGCTTTCAATTTGGTGACCACGCTAAAAGCGCTCCCATGCCGTAACATTGCACGAGCGAGACTCCAAAACTCAAACACTTCAGCTGAAACTCCGCGACTGCCGAACTTCAAAGTCTAAAGCCAAGCAAAAGGAAATCTTAGAAGAACTCCAAACATCACTCTCCGTGCTCAAGGCAACCAAATTTCGAAGCTCCTCCGTCACAAGGCAACCTCCAATCACCACGGAAGGCTTCACCTAAACGTCATCTCAGCAACCAATTCGAAACCTCTGCTTTGTGATTCTCTCGGGTTGAATTTAAAACCACTTGTGGAAACGAGTTAGAACTTTGGGAACTTCATACAAACTCCGTAACTTTCATTCTTCCAAACTGTATGTATGTGTGTTTTAGCTTAGTTTTAATGTAATCTAGAATAGCCAATAAATTCGTGTTTCATTTATAAAGAATCATTGTCTGGTGTCGTATAATTTTAAAGTCAAACCTTGCCAAGATCACGTTACCTAGCTCGTAGCTTACTTATCAAAGAACGTATTAACCCTTGGCCAGGGAAATACAAATATTAAAAGTGTTAAAATATACTGAGGTCAACGGCTCGCTGGACGACCGTTGATAAGGTGTAAACAATTTGATTTGAAATCAGTTCTAATCAGGTTGACTTCGAATTTTCAGATTCGAGTCCTCTCAAAACCTGAGTGAATTAATAATAATTAATTCCCTAATAAAAGTAATCAGACATTACATTAGTTACTGTCCGCCTCTGGATGCGACCCATCATTCCTGAGGCTCTGGTGGCCCAGCTGTTGTGCTGCTTCCATACCCAGTAGGGCTGTCAAAATGGCTGAAAAACAAAATTAGAATTTTGTACTTAAATATTGTCAAAATTCGAATTATATTTGAATTTAAAATGCATAATTTCAGTTAGGGTGAAGAAAAGCTTTTGGCTTCTCTTCTGAGGCCACAAGAGGGCATATCGAGTAAAAATATTACTAATGCATGTTTATTCAAAGCATAAGATAAAATGACTATCTGTGGAAAAAAGTGCATAATGTGCACAATGTTTAAAATAATGTTTGTAAACCAATTATAATTAAGTTGCTTAATCAACTATAAACAAAACAGCATCGTGTATGTATGCATAGTTTAATACAAAGGGCCGAAAGCCAATCACACAGAGTACATTTCTCATTTAAAAACATTAGATAACCCCCCCTGCCATATAGTCTTGATATACATTTTTTTCAAAGTTAAACTTGCATTAATTTTACATGGCTTTCTAAACATGTGGCTCTTTTGTGCGAGATGCGAGTGCAACGGTGATAGATGTCCCTCTAGAAAATGGTAACGGCTTGGTTTCAGTTTTGATGTAAACAAGATCTTCTCCGCATTGATATTCTCTTTTTCCACAATATTTTTAATGAACAACACAGCAGCACCGCATCTAGTGGCTGCAACTGGATAGGCTAACAAAAACATTATAATGCAATGACACTTACATCGTCATTAGTCACTCCAGTCCGGGAGCTCACAGAGTCCACTTCAGAGCCTGCTCCAGTTCGGAAGCTCTCAGAGCTCATTAAGGAAGTCACTCCAGTCCGGGAGCTCACAGGAACCGTTGCGGAGCAATCGGCTTGTCCTGTTGCAACCGTTGAGGCTGGTACTAACCTCTCTCTGCTCTTGTTTTTGCTGAGAGGGTTTTCTGTCCCACCAGTGTTGCCTGACAGGATTCCGGCTCCGCTCTGGTTGCCCGCCTGGGTTCTGGTTTGGCAGGAGCCTCACTGGCTCACTTCTCCGGCTCCGTCCTGGCTATCTGCTGGGGTTTATTCTCTTTTTCCACAATATTTTTAATGAACAACACAGCAGCACCGCATCTAGTGGCTGCAACTGGATAGGCTAACAAAAACATTATAATGCAATGACACTTACATCGTCATTGTCACAGTGTCTGGTTGTGGTGCCCAATCAGAACCCTTCCGCAGGGATTTTCCCACCACCTCTATCCTTCAGACTCCCACTAAGCGGCGAAGGGCGAGAAGGAGGACAGCAGAGCCTGCTCCAGTCCGGGAGCTCACAGAGCCCACTCCAGAGCCCGCTCCAGTCGCCGGCCCCGCCTTGGCTTTCCACCCTGCCGGTTCCGCTCTCATACCCTGGTCTACCTCTGTCCCCTGACCCCCTTCCTTTGCACGGTCCTGGCCCGTCATCCCTCCCCTGGTCTGCCTCAGTTCCATCTCCCTCCTGAACTTTTATGTTTTCTGGTGGAGTGTCTGGTATCCGCTCCGTAGAGGGGGGGTAATGTCACAGTGTCTGGTTGTGGTGCCCTGGACTGGCCACTTGAGGGCGCTCTCCTGTTTCAGTGTTATATGTTTTGAACTCCAGTTCCCATAGTCCCTTGCCTGTCGTGTCTGTTCTGATCATTATCACCTGTTAGTCATTTACTCATCCTCCCATCTATATATACCATGCTCACTCTGTCTGTCGTTGCTGCAGTACTGTATTTGTTATCTGATGTTGATGTTGTCTAGCGTTACACCATGTTATCTGTTCCCTGTGTTTTTGGATTACCTTTAGCCATGTTTTTGTTCTGTTCTATTTATTTATACTTTAATAAAACTGCACTTGGATCTTACCTTGTTTTCTCCTGGCATTCCGTGACAGTCATTGCATCTCATGCCACTGATAAAGCTGCCTGACGCACTCCTAAAATTCGAATATAACGTTTTTGTATTCGATTGTGGATTTTTATTTTAAATTCGACGAATATTCAAAATTCATTTTTTTTACAGCCCTAATACTGTCACGGGTTGCTACTGTGAGGAGCATGGAACAAGGAGACCAGGAGTACAAATCAAGGAGTTTATTTACATCGCAGGGAATCACGTAGCACAAGGGAGTTGACATTGACAATACCAGACAACACTAACTAAAAGGACTCAGATTTTTAAACACAGGATGACGAGGGATTAAGGAGACACTCTGGCACTGGAGTGAGTTTTGGGGCTGGAGCCGACACTGGAGTGAGCTCTGGGACTGGAGCAGACACTGGAGCGAGCTCTGGGGCTGGAGCTGACACTGGAGTGAGCTCTGGGGCTGGAGCTGACACTGGAGCCTCATGAACGCATGGCGGGCTTGCTATATTATCGTCCGTTGGGCTTGCCATATGCACTGCCGGCTGACTTGACTCGGGAACTACCACAGACGGCGGCAGACTGGTTCTGGCTCTGGACCGGACACTCCCCAGACACCGGAAGACACCTTCCCTCCAACTTAGCCCAGTGGTGTCTGGGAGGTCCACGGGGTGATGGTAGTTGGCCCCGAGCCAGAACAGCTGATTAAGGACGGCGTCCTCTAAAGCCGTCACCGCGGCAAGCTTGCAGAACTCCCTGGCGTACTCGTAGAAGGGGAGATCTTCAGACTCACCAATCTGGTGGAGAATCCCTCCTCTCTTTGGTGTCTCCTCTACCTCCCCCCTTTACCTTGTGCCTCTTACACACCGGAGGGGAAACCCACAATATGGACATTATGATGTAGTAAATTCCAAATGGGGCTAGAATTCTTTCCCTCAGATGCCGTAGGCTGGGGGAGGGGTCTATGTGACAGTGCCACATGAGGGATATGTTTTAACTGCTCTGCATGTAACAGTACATTTGTGTATCAGAGTTTTAAATGGTTTTACATGTTTCCCTGTCCATTTGAACCCCTCGTAAAGGAGACCTATTATGCCCCTTTTTACAATATGTAATATAAGTCTCAGGTGTCCCCAGAATGTGTCTGTGAAGTTTCAGCTCAAAATAGCCCACAGATCATTTATTATTTAATTTCGAAAATGCCTATTTTAAGTGGAAGCACAAACACGCTGTTTTTTTGTGCGTTGTCTTTTTAAATGCAAATGAGCTGCTGCTCCGTGCCCCCTTTTCCAGAATAGAGCTGCACAATTACAGCTCGTACCTGCTAAAAACATCTGTTTTGGTTCTGATTATCATGTTTATCCCGCTGAAATCATGCGTTTTAAACCATATTAGTGTAAACTTCTGATATACAGTTTTCTGAGTGCACACATCTGAAGCACATGGACAGAAAGCGGCTGTCACAGCATGTGAGCAGGGCAGGACTTAGGGGGTGGGGGCCCCTGTGCTTGAGGTTATGTTTGGGCCCTATACCTACACTACAAATGCCCTCAAATAGAACATCATTATGGAGTAACATAAAATACACAAACATATGCATTGAGGTTCATAAATAGTACAATTAATATGCAACATGTCTAGGCTATAGCTGCAAGCATATATATATATATATATATATATATATAGCTGCAAGCAGCGATTACTGGGAGTACTTTAAGGCCTTTAAGGTGGTATGCTTTTAGGGTCTAGGCCAACCTGGATGAATGGCTGACAGTAAAACACATCTCCAAAATGGAGAAAAGTCTCAAAGACACACACACATACACTGAAATTAAATGATTAAACTAGTATATTAATGCTCAATAAGCATGCTTACACACACACATACACAGACATACATGCTCACACATTTTGTTGCAGATATAGATATTTGAAATAAATGATAGGTGACGCAAAACGTTTTGCAAGTCTTCTCTTTTTAAGAGTTTATATGTCATTTTCAGGTTTCACTGTAATCACAATCTGGCACAATTGTAAAAACTGATATGTCTGTATGAACAAAATGGTAAACTTTGACTTAATGTGATTTTAAATGTTATAACAGTGATTTTATGTCCAAGCATGAATCCATAAGCAAACCTATGAACAGTACTGTTTTAGTGCATTTAATTAGCCCATTAGTGGTCTTCCACTGCCATCTAGTGGTTATAACTGCAATTTCATGCAATTTCTCATACAACACTGTGTTTTTAACCTTTATAACTATTATAGTGTTATTTTTTGCCCCAAACTCTTTAATAATCTCTTACACAGTTTTGAGAAGTTGTGGGCTTTCTTTGAGGATTTATAGGCCTTTGGGTACACTATGTAAAGAACATATTATAAAATGACCGTTTTATAGTTGTCCAAATGAAAATGTTCAACATTTTTTTGATAATTGTTGATCTAGAGAGTCCAGAGAATTGTACTGCAGTGGTTTTATTGATTTTTATTTAAAAACCTAGGACTAGTTCACAGAAGTAGTTTTTTAAAATAATATCAAATATTTAAAGAACAGTTGGATTGACAGCAGTGGTCCAAGAGGCAAAGTTGTTCAGAATGAGGAGATATAACATAAGATATTAAGATCTAGTGTTTGTGTGAATATATGAGCATTACAGTATGTGAATACTGTAGTCTTGAGCGCAAATGGAGGAAAACTAACTTGGAAGTTTTTTTTTAGAATTGCGTGGAAAAACAGTATGTCCAACTATAGACAGTCTCTAAAAGCTGCCAGGGCCGAGCATATCCACAAACTCATAGAAAATAACCAAAACAATCCAAGGTTTTTATTTAGCACAGTGGCTAGATTAACAAATAACCAGACGCCACCCGAAAATTACAGACCCATTTAAAATCTTCCTTTTATGTCTAAAATTTTTGAAAAAGTTGTGTCTCCTCAATTATGCTCCTTCCTGAAAAAAAATTATCTCTATGAAGAATTTCATAAATCAGGTTTCAGGCTCCACCACAAGTGCCACAAGGATCTGTCCTAGGTCCTCTGCTATTTTTAATATACATGTATTTTCTCCTATTAAATTCGGATAAGACAGAGATATTACTTATTGGACCAAAAAAAACATACACAGAATCTCTTGGATTACAATTTGCAACTAGATGGACGTACTGTTACTTCCTCTACAGTCAAAAATCTGGGTGTTATATTAGATAGCAACTTGTCTTTTGAAAATCATATTTCCCATGTTACAAAAAC